TTTGACACTCCTAAACAAAGACTGACCTTTCCCCAGCCGTTTAGCACTGAGTACCACCCTATGGATGTTCTTTGCTGGGAGAAGTCTGTTTTACAGTCATCAAACTTGAGCCCAGGGTAGATGGAATAAACCAGAGGTCAGAGCCCTTGGGAACAGGCTGAACTGGAGACATCTGCCCAGGGAGTAGCTGAGGGGCAGGCAGGAGGTCACTGCAGGCCGAGCTGCACTGCTGCTTTCCTAGCGCAGTGCCTGAGGCAGGAGATGCTGTTAATGTAGGAGAAGACACAAGGTGGGCAGCGGGCCCCGAATTTTGCACTTAGGACTGAAAGTGATGGCTGGAATGGATGCAGGAGGTTCGAGCCGTCTCTCCCAAGCTGGAACTCCAGCACTGCTGCAGGTTTCCTAAGGATGCCGAGCGAGGCCAGTGCTGTCTTGCTGCATGGCTGTAGGGATCAGGAGTGCTGCGGCCCAGACGCTGCAGGTGGTTCCTACCGGGAGCACCGAGGTGGTTTCCTGTGGAGCGTCGTGGTGCTACAGCCGTCACAGGCAGCGTGTCCCGCAGCACAGTGTCGTGGTCCCAGGGGGCTGAGCTGCTGTGGGCACAGGTGCCAGTGTATCAGAAAGTGTCTGGTGCCCTTGGGGAGTTTGATCCTCTGGGGCAGGGTTCAGCTTCTCTTGGAGTGAGGTGCTGCTTTCTGGGCTGCGTTGCCTCGCAGGACTCGCAGAGGAGAGACTCAAGCAGGTCCTGCAGGCCTATATCTTGAGCTGCTCCTCATTCCTCTAAGAGGAGCCTGGTGTGGGTGCTTCATTGGCAAATGTGCTGAGCCACTGGCCACAGGACTATCCCTGGGGACAGAAAGGGCCGGGCGCCTTGTTGAGGTGTCACACTGCAGGACCCTGCATCGCTGCACACCCGTGTGCGCGTGCGGCCGGAGGAGCCCCCGTGGCCGCGGGCTGGCCTTGCCCAAGGGCAGGCAGAGAGCAGGGTCCGTGGGTGCGGGGGAACCTGAGCCATCTGACCGTGCTTGTGGCCACGCAGGGGACATGCTGCGCCTGCGCACCGTGCTGGAGGCCATCCAGAAGAACATCCACTCCTCCTCCTTGATCTTCAAGCTGGCCCAGGACGCGTTCAAGATCGCCACGCCGGCCGACAGCAACTCGGACACGACGCTGCTCAACGTGGCGCTGGAGCTGGGACTCCAGGTAGGGGAACGTGTTGGGGAGGCCTGCAGCCCTCCTGGCTCCTGCAGTCCTCCTGCCCCCTCGCTGCAGGACTGGCCCTGGGGGGCTCTTCCACCCAGCGCCTGCTCCCCCACATCCCCTAGGACTTGCATGGGAGGAGTAGGCTCATATGGCCCTGCACGGGGCAGCGGCCCCGGGAGGTCCTGGTGTCCTTGGGTGGCCCCAGGACGGCTGGTCACCCCGGGTTTGCCTCGCAGGTGATGCGCATGACCTTGTCCACCCTCAACTGGCGGCGCCGGGAGATGGTGAGGTGGCTGGTGACCTGTGCCACAGAAGTGGGTGAGTACCTGCTGCCTGGCTCTGCCAGGGGGGAACTGGCCTGCACATGGTGGAACAAAGTGGGCAAGGGAAATCCCTGGAGCAGTTTATGGCTTTAGGTCAGGGTGTTGGAGGTCTCCTGAGCTTCACTTTTCTTTCTTCTTGGGCAACTCAGTGCATCCCCAGAGTATCAGCTGGCAGGAGTGGGGCCGTAGCAAGGAGTGAATTTGAGGCTGGGAGAGGTTTCCCCAAGCTGGGTCAGGCTGGAGGTGTTTGCTCGCTCCCATACCCTGTGGCCTGGCAGTGCAGGGTGGCATCCATGCGTGCCCCCTGCCAGACCTGTCCCTGTTGTAGCGGAGGCCCTGGCCCCGGCACTGCTGGACACTTGGTTTTCCTTGACTGTGGGTCCACGGTGGCTCTGGATGTCCGGAGATGCAAGGGGAGCCTCCTAACCCACGCCAGGTGCTGGGGCTCTGCCGTGACCCCTGTTTCCCTTGCAGGAGTGAGGGCCCTGGTGAGCATCCTGCAGAGCTGGTACTCTCTGTTCACCCCCACGGAAGCCACCAGCATCGTGGCCGCCACGGTGATGTCCCACAACACCATCCTGCGCCTCAGCCTCGACTACCCGCAGCGGGAGGAGCTGGCCAGCTGTGCCCGCACGCTGGCGCTGCAGTGCGCCATGAAGGACCCCCAGAACTGCGCCCTGTCCGCGCTCACGCTCTGCGAGAAGGACCACATCGCCTTTGAGACCGCCTACCAGATCGTCATCGACGCCGCCTCCACCGGCATGACCTACACGCAGCTCTTCACCATCGCGCGCTACATGGAGCACCGGGGCTACCCGCTCCGGGCCTTCAAGCTGGCCTCGCTGGCTATGACTCATCTCAACCTGGCCTACAACCAGGACACGCACCCGGCCATCAACGACGTGCTCTGGGCTTGCGCCCTGAGCCACTCGCTGGGCAAAAACGAGCTGGCCGCCATCATCCCGCTGGTGGTGAAGAGCGTGCACTGCGCCACGGTGCTCTCGGACATCCTCCGCCGCTGCACCATGACGGCCCCGGGCCTGGCCGGCATTCCCGGCCGCAGGAACTCGGGGAAGCTGATGTCCACCGACAAGGCGCCGCTGCGGCAGCTGCTGGACGCGACGATAAGCGCCTACATCAACACCACGCACTCCCGCCTCACCCACATCAGCCCGCGGCACTACGGCGAGTTCATCGAGTTCCTCAGCAAGGCCAGGGAGACCTTCCTCCTGGCGCAGGATGGGCACATACAGTTCGCCCAGTTCATTGACAATCTCAAACAAATCTACAAAGGCAAGAAAAAACTGATGCTGCTGGTGCGAGAACGGTTCGGGTGAGCCCCGGCCGCTGGCACCGGCACTGCCAGCGGCCGGCCACGGCCTGGGGCCACGGGAAAGAAGAAGGAACAAAAGCGGAGAACACCTTCCCCCACTCGGCAGAGGCTGCTCTGTTCTGTTCTTTTGTTTATTTTTTTAATTTGATTTTATTTTTTTCTCGGATTTGACCATTTCACACGCTGAGAGGATCCAGAGATTCTTTGGGCACAAACCAAAAGGCAACCACGGGAAATGGTTTGCTCGGCCCTGGCCCTCCCTTGCCAATACCAAAAGCTAACCTGGAAATCTAATACCTCTTTCCTGAAGGAGGCGGCCGCTGGAGGGATCCGAAGGTTGCAACGTGCAAAAGTCTTTAAAATTATATGGAGGGAATAAAAATAAAAGAGTGAGCAAAGAAACCCGCAACACTAGAACCTCATGCGTCACCAAAAGCAATGGCTTTGCAGAGTGCTTCTCCCGCCTGCCCGAGACATGCAAACTCCTCTATTTGTGAAGATACTTCAATAAAAACAAGTTAAAGTAACTGTTCTCAGGGATTGCTTACTAAAAGTAACACAAAAAAAAAAGCATTTATGATACTGTAAATACTATAGTATATGTGTCAATTATTAAATTGTAAAGTTATAATTATTTATAATTCTGTCTTTTATTTGGGGGATACTTGAAATTGTCGTGGGCTGGGACGATTATTTTTATTATTGCTATTATTATTATTAACTCCTATTTAAACACAACGAAGCACCACCACCACCCGCCGGCAGCGAGGAGACGGCCCCGCGGACGTTTCTCAGGTTTCCACGGCGAGAAGGGCGCAGGGGGAGGCGCCCGCCCGGCTCGACCCGCAGGGATGGATGGATGGATGGATGGCCGGCCGGAGCGGCCGCAGTGAGGATGGCGCCGGATGGGACTGGGGCAGCGGGTGCCCGGACGTGCACGGACGCCGGCCTCGCCGCGGGCCCCTCTGCAGCGGGAACAGCGCGCCCGGCTCGGGCACGGGGCGCGGGGCGCGCGCGGGCACGAGGAGAGGAGCCGCTCCTGGCGGCACAGCCGGGCGGCAGCCCCCGGCACGGTCCTACCTTCCGTTTCGGAGCTGCCGCCCCGTGCGGCGCCGCGCCGGGCTCTCTCGGGCCCCCGGCCAGCAGCTCGGAGGGTTTGTTCCATTTGTTTTTTGCCTGAAGGGTCGGGAGGGCTGGGGGGGCCGGGGCCAGTCTGGACGGTGACTTGTAGTTAGAGAACAGGGGCTAGTTATCTACTGTCTGGTTTGACTTGCAATTTTTTGGAAAGTGACTTGTGTCCGCGCTCCGGCCAGGAAACCAATGTACTCGGTATGTGTTGCCACCGCGCTAGCATTCTTGGAGCAGTCTGTTCCTGTTCCTCTGTTACTCTCCTTTTTCTTTCCCCCCCTTCCTTTTTTTTTTTTCCCGCGTGCGTGCGTGTATGTGTGTGTGCGACCTCTTCCTCTGATGTTTAATAATAAAAGGGATGGACGTTACCGCCTGTTTCTCTACTGCCTTTACCTGCAGCCGGAGGGGTTTCTGCGTGGGGCGGGATGGGGCTGCCCAGCTCCCCAGGGCACCCCCAGCCCTGGCCCCGCACAGGGGCAGAGCACAGCGAGACACCCTCGGGGTCCCGGGCTGGATTCCCAGGCGCGCCTGGCACCGGCAAGACCAGTCCTGGCTGCAAGGACAGCCCTGGCTGCGGGAACGGCGTTGGAGCAACCACCGGCCTCATCCTGCTGGATCCTGCAGCCACCCATGAGCGCAGTGAGTGGGCTGGGGTTTGGGGACGTTGCGGGTGGCATCCCCAGGCATTTGGGTGCCACCAGCACCCGCAGGTGCTTGCTGAGCCTACACTGGTGTCGCTGTGGAAAGCTAAGACACAGCAGGACCCTGCCAAGAGGCCACCGGGAGCTTTGGCCGTGGTCACGGTGAGCCGGTGGCGGAGGTGGGATGTGATCCCCAATGCCTGGGGCCCACAGCAGCTCTTCTCCCTTTGCTGGGCTCAGCCTCTGCTTGGAGCTGGAGTGCCTGGAGCGAGAGCAATTCCTGCTGCAGGGCTGGAGGGGGATGGCTGGGCTTTGGGGCCAGGCTCTTATAGGACTCCAAAAAAACTGCGGATTGGAGGAGACAGGTGTCCCTGGAGCCTCGTGTGCCCCATCCCAAGCACAGGCCTGGGCTCAGGTGCTCCATGTCCTCCTCACACACTCCACTAGACTGGCAGCAAAGCCCAGCTCCTCCAGGACCAACAAATTCCCCAGCCAGAGCCACATGGCCGCCACAGAGACGGTGCTGGTTTAATGCTACATCCCGCCCTGCAACGAGCCCTGCGGCCGTGCGGGCTCTGGGCTTCGGCCACAGTCCTGTCCGCCGAGCCCTGGGCTCAGCTGTGCTTGTTCATGTGGCGGGAGTGCGTGTGCACGGCCTCCACGAAGGCACCCACGTGCTCGGGGCTCATGTCGGGGTAAAGGCCGTGGCCCAGGTTGGCAATGTAGCGTTGGGTGCCGAAACCCTCCAGCATCTTCTTCACCAGCTCCCCAATCTTCTCCTGCAGGCACGGTGGGAAAGCACGAGTCAGCCCTATCCAGCCTGGGGTATCTGAGCCCCGTGCCATAGGGCAGGGCACAGGTTAGTCCTGCTGGGACAGGAGCCAACTTTCCAGGTGGGGCAACCAAGGCAAGGAGGCCTTTAACCCAGGTCCAAACCAGCCCCTTTTGCTGGCCACAGCCACTACTCACCTTGGGCGCGTAGAGGGCGCAGGGGTCCAGGTTCCCTTGCAGGGTGATGTCCTTGCCTATCTGTGCGCTGCAGTGGGGAGGAAGCAGGTGAGTTGATGCGTGTGGCACAGGGACGGGGGCAGCCTGACACTGGCCCAGACCCCACTGCTGGGCAGCTCCTGGTTGCTGTCAGCTCCCTGGGCACCAGGACCTGGCTCTCCCCACCTCTGCGTCAGAAGTCCCCAGCCAGCGATGGCTCAGAGCGGGGAAGGTGCCAGGCAGCCTAAGGCGCAGCGTGGGCACAAGAGCCTAAGGTGCAGTGTGGGCGCAAGAGCGCTGTGCCAGACTTACCGAGCGTCCTGTGGCCGTATGGTCCAGTCAAGCCCAACCACCTCGTAGCCGGCCCGGGCCAGCTCCGGCAGCGCGTAGTGCGCGTCCTTCGCAAAGACGATCTGGGGAGGAAGGAGACGGGCAGCGCCCCTGCCACGGGCCAGGCCCTCGCCCCAGGCTGCCACAAGAGATGCTGGGGACAACAGGGACAACCCAGGAGGACATGAGAGATATGAGGAGCTGCTAGGGGGGCTGTTGTGGTGCTGCTGCTCCCACGGCGGGCTGGAGGAGCAGTGCTGCAAGGTGGCCGTGCCCAGTGCTGAGCGCCCATCACAGGCTGGGATCCCTGCAGACCCCATCTCTAGGCGGGCAGTGCAGGTCCCTGCTCGTGGTTTGGCTGTACCCTGCAGCAAGGAGTTCCCAGGCACCCTCTGCAACTGGTTTCTGCCTGTTCTTATCCCAGCTCCTTCCCACTGCTAGGACAGAGAGCCAAGCTCCCCATACTCCCCACAAAGCCCCGGGCAACAGGACTACCTCGGGCAGCCCCGGACTCACCATGGGCACCAGGGGTAGCGCCTCAGACTTCAACTTGCTCTTCACGCCCCGGGCAATGTCTCGGATGTAGGGCAGGGCAAAGTCCTGGAACTGCTCCGGGCCCAGGTGCCCCGCGTGGGACTCAAACAGTTGGAGCGCCTGTCAGAGATGCAGGGCTGGGAGAGCCAGGCCCACCATGCAGCCCAGTCCCTCCTCCTCCTCTTCCTCCCTGCTGGCCCCCTGTAGCTTCTTGCCCCTAATTTCTGCCCCCCTGGACTCAGCCCTGGGACACACCTGCGCTCCGGCAGCCACCTGCCCCACCAGGTAGTCGATGATGACATTTGTCAGCAGCCGCAGCAGTCGGTGGCTCGCATCGGGGTGACGATAGAGCCAGCTCTTGGCCTTGGCCATCGTTGTGGAGCCACCGCCTTCAATCATGTAGGACATGAGCGTCCACTGTGGGAAGGAGAAAGTGAAGAGGGAGATGGGAGATGTGAGGGACCAGACCTGGTGCTGAAGGCAGGACCTATGAGCAGCCCAGGGCCTGGGGCTCAGCTGCTGCCCCCTCAAACATCCCCTGCCCTACACAGAATGAACTACGCTACTGAAGCCAGTCCCTCCAGCTGTGGGGGTGCTAGGAAAGGCATCACCCCTTAGGAAGGGGTGGGGAAGACCATGCCCAGCTGGAAATCCCACCTTGTGGAACACCATCACTTACAGGCGCCCCAGAGAAGCCGATGAGGGGCACCTTGCCCTCCAGGCTGTGCCGTGTCAACGTGATGGCCTGGAAGACATAACCGAGCTCTGCGGTCACGTCCACCTTCTGCCGCAGCTTCAGCAGATCCTCCACCTCCTTCAGGGGCTCTGGGAAGGTGGGTCCTTTGCCAGGTGCCATGACAACATCCATGCCTAGTGCCTGGGGACAGTGGAGAGAAGGAAGAGGAATGGGGAAGCTCTGGACCAGTCTCCTTTGGAGATGCTGCTTGCCATCATTGCTCGCCACAGCACTCACCTGGGGCACCACCAGGATGTCGGAGAAGATAATAGCAGCATCCAGGGGGAATCGTCTCAGCGGCTGCAGGTGGCAGAGGGGAAGCAGCAGCGTGAGCAGGGGACCCAGGCCCCCTTCCCGTGAGGGCTCAGGGCTGCACCCAGCCAGCCCAGGCAATGGGGTCCCTGAGGCGAGCCGGGAATCTGCCTGGTTAGAGGTGGCTCAACCTCCTTCTACCGAATCCCACTGTGGGTCGCTCCCACTGCCAAAGAGTCTAGCTTTAGGCTGCACAACTCCCTGGAAGCCGTGGCCAGCCAGGACAAGAGGCCGGGAAAGCAGCCTGTCCTGCAGCGAGGGGAAGAGAGTGGGCAAAGCGACCCTTCCCGAGGGGCTGCTCACCTGCAGCGTCAGCTCACAGCACACCTTGGGACTGCGGCACGTGGCGAAGAAATCCTGCGCGGCCCGCATCTCCCGGAACTCTGCAAGGGACAGGCCGCGGGGACGGGGATGGTGACGGGGACGGCTGCCCGCGGGGCCGCCCTGCCCGCCGCCCGCGCGCTCACCGGGCAGGTAGCGCCCCGCCTGCCGCATGCACCACACCGGCGTGTACGCGGTGTCCTCGCCGCGCGCCGCCCGCAGGAACGTGTCGTTCTTCAGCTCGGGGAAGCCCTTGGGGCTGCGGGAAGGAGCAGAGAGGGGTTGTGGTGGGACGGGGCCCTCCCCGCGAGATTAGGTTATCGGGGGCGGCAGCCGCTGTTGCCCGCGGGGGTCCCGGCCCCTATCTGCGCCCCGCAGCGCCGCAGCCGAGCCCTGAGCACAGACAAACTCGGCGCATGTGCTGCTCACGCGGCAGCCCCGGCTCCATCGGCCACCGGGCGCCCCCGGCCCCTTCCCAGCCGGGTCGGTACCCACGAAACGGAGCCGGGGCAGCCGCGTGGAAGGACCAGTGTCCCCAAGGCCACACCAGTGTCTCCACAGCCACACCAGTGACTGCCGTGTATGGCCCCAGAGCCACACCAGTGTCCCCAGGGCCACACCAGTGACCACCATGCACGGCCCCAGAGCTACACCAGTGTCCCCAGAGCCACACCAGTGACCACCGTGCATGGCCCCAGAGCCACACCAGTGGCCCCAGAGCCACACCAGTGACCGCCGTGCATGGCCCCAGAGCCACACCAGTGGCCCCAGAGCCACACCAGTGACCGCCGTGCATGGCCCCAGAGCCACTCCAGTGTCCCCAGGGCCACACCAGTGACCGCCGTGCAGGACCCCAGGACTAGTGTCCCCCAGGCCACCTCACTGTGCCCCGCGGAGGGCCCGGTGCGACACCAGCGTCCCCAGCACGACACCGTGTCCCCAGCACGGGACTCCAGTTCCACTCCGGTGCGGCACCCGCGGTGCGGGCACAGCGGAGGCGGCCGGACTCGGTTCCTTCCCCTGCGCCCCATCTCCCCGCCGCCCCGGACGGGGTGCTGGATCGGCTCTCCCCGGGCCCCGGTACTCACACGAGCCGCTCGCTGCCCTCCATGCTGCTGCGCCGCGCTCCGCCTCGGCCTGGCCCGCCCCGCTCCACCACGCCACGCCCCGCGGGCGCCGCCATCTTGCCGCGGCCCCGCCCTTCCGTACTTGGCACGGGCGCCGCCATCTTGCCCTCTCCGTACGCCGCCATCTTGCCCCGCTCCGGGCCTTTCCGGAGGCCGCACGGGCGCCGCCATCTTGCCCTGCCTCCGCCCCGCGGGCGCCGCCATCTTGCCGGGGCAGCGGGCGGGGTTTTGCCGTAAGCCCGCGAGTAGCGACCGCCGGCGGCTCCGGTGCCGGGCTCGGCCGGGCCGGAGCGGGGCCGCGATGCGCGCGGGCGCGGAGGCGCCGCACCAGGTGCTGGGCCGGCTGCGCTTCCTGCTGCAGTGCAGCGAGTGCTTCCGCGGCGCGCGCCCGCTGCCCGCCGCGCTCTGCTACGTGCCCCGCGAGGTGCAGTACAAGATCTGCAAGGACCCCGCGGGCGCCGCCGCCGCCGCGCGCAGCCTGCTCAGCGTGTGGGACAGCCCGGGGCCGGCGCGGGGCGGCAAGCGGGCGGCGCGGGCCACCATCGAGGTGCGCAAGGGCGGCTGCCTGCGCGCCACGGGCGAGGAGTACTGCAACGGCGCCGGGCTCTGGGTGAAGCTCAGCAAGGTAACGGCGCCCGGCCCCGCTTCCGAGCAGCCTCCTGGCAGCACCCGGCGGGACCAGGCCCAGGGCTGCGGCAGGGGCGCCGAGCTCGGACGGCTGGGACAATCCCAGGTGTGATTTCAGGAGCAGCTCCAAGAGCACAAGGGCTGCCATGACCTGGAGGAGGGTTGGCTCCTGGCACAGAAGTTTGGAGAGGCGGGAGATAAGCTGGTCCCAGTTGAGTCTGTGGAGAGGATGCAGTGGCAGCAGCAAATGTTTGGGGTTGACTATAAACCTGCGGTCAGGTAGGTCCCAACCCGGGGCTCCCAGCCAGGGCACAGCCGTGTGCGTGCTGCGCAGTCCCGTGTCACTGATACCCATCCTGTCCCTGCCCGCCTGCTCTGCCGGGGCTCTTCCAGCTGGGAGCAAGTGGTGGACCTGACGTACTCCACGCGGCTCGGAGGGAACCCCAGGTTCATGGATCAGGATGAGGCTGCGGTGCAGAAGCTGCGGTACGTGCACATCTCCTGGAGAGGGTCCCCACAGAGGGGGTCAGAAGGGAGGTTGGGCACCCCTGGATGAAGCAACCTTTGCTCCACACATCGTCAGGTCACCTGCCTTGCACTGTTTCCCCCAGACTGGGGTGGCCATAAACACGGCGATACAGCCGTGTCAGCCAGGGAGCAGTCCCCATTTGGTGACAGCGGGATGCTGGAGCCCTCCCAGCTGGGGCCACCAGGCTGGACAGCACTGCGGGACAGGCGGGGGGGCTGCTTGGCACATGTGGGGCACAGCCTGGTCACCCCAGTCCCACTAACACGGCGCCCGCCCGCAGGTCCCTGCCGGCGTCCTGGAGCTACGAGTGTGACTTGGAGCTGGCGCGTTTCCTGTACGATCACAGCGAGAGGGAGCTGAAGGGACTGGACTGCATGAAGGAACACGTCAACAGCCTCGACGTCTCCTCGCAGGCGGTGCGTAGCCTGCGCGGGAGCCAGCTGGGCAGGGCAGCCCTGGAAAGCCCCGGAGATGGGAGGAGTAACGAGTGACTCTTGCTCTGAAGCCTCTTCTCCTAAGGGGAGGGAGCTGGAAGGGGTCCGGGTGCCAGGCAGGGAGGAGGCTCCGCTCAGGGCACCTCTCCTGCGGGGAGCTGGTGCTGTCCTGGTGTGTCTGACACGCGCTGGCAAAACTCGGCGTGAGCCGCAGCGCGTGGGACGCGTGAGGTGGCCAGGCCCGGTGCCTCCCGAGGGGCCCACACAGGTTTTAGCAAAGCTGGTGTGAGTTGGGCAGCTGGAGCAAAGCCCCGTGGCGGCTCATGGGCGCTCGCCAGGCTGCGAGGGCGCCGTGGCCGTGTCCAAGCTGCTGTGTTTGGGAGGTGCTGTTCAACCGCAGCCCAACCGATGCAGGGGCTGGCCTGGTCTGATCTCCTCCAGCTTCCTGGGACCACTCCTAGGAGGTGGCCCAAGGATGCTCACGCTGCCTCCTCCTGCCCGCTGCGCTCTTCCAGGAGAACTTCAATGCGTCCCACCTGACTGACGGCCGGACAGACACCTTCTGGGAGAGCGAAGGGCCCCAGGGGGAGCACTGGGTGCGGCTCTACATGAAGAAAGGCTCCATCATCAAGTGAGACCCATGGGTGTCCTCTCCGTGGCAGGGGTTGTGCCGGAGATGAGCAGGGTGTGGGGGGCAAAGCGTCTTGTTCGTCTTGACTGCAGCTCTTCACCTGGGCTCTCTTGGCCACAACGTGGGGCTCTGGGTAGGGGTGGCCGTGTCCCAGGTTGTGGGGTGTGCACAGACCTGCTGGCAGCTCTGCGGGCATCTCCCAGATGTCTCCACACCCAGGCAGATCCGGACAAAGCTGCTTCCCTCTCTCTTCACATCCAGGAAGCTGTGGCTGCTACTGGAGTCACAGACCCTGTCCTACATTCCCAGACGGGTGGCTGTGTATGGTGGGGAACTAAACAGGCTGCAGCACCTGAGAAGCATCCTAATCAGCGAGTGAGTAACGAGAGCGAAACAGCCTCCGTGCAGCTTGGGCCAAACTCCTGAACTGCATGTTTGTCCGTGTGGAAGCCTAAGGAAAGTGCAAGGGTAAACCCCAAGCGATCTGTCCCTGACTTGGGCCCTCAGTGGGGCTCCCTGGGCTGGGGGTTGCAGCGGCTGCTGTACGCGTGGTGGCCACCCATCCTCTCTGTGCGAGCTGAGCACCTTCAGCTGTGCGTGTGGCCTGCATGCTGGGAGAGCTCCCTGCCCCGTCGCTGCTGCTCTGTATTTGACCGGTTCTGCTCTAAAAATGTTTGTGTCAAAAAATGTTTGAGACATTTCCTGTGAATCCCCCAGCAGCCCCATAGGGAATCCCCCAGCAGCCCCATAGGGAATAGCGTCGTGGTCATGTTGCATTTCTGTTCTGCTCTGTCTTTGCCAAATTTATGCTCTTCTCCGCGTCTCTGAACGTGGCTTCCGCCTTCTTCAGGATGTCTCTGTTCTTCTGTCCTTCTCCATTCGCTGTCCTCCTGCTGCAGCCCTCGGTGAGCATAGGGGCTTGTGTCATGGGGTGCATCGCAGAGCCCTAGTTAGGGTTTGCTGCCCAGTTGCTGCATGGCCGTGGCCGTGTTGCAGAAATGCCCCTTTCTGCCCTCCCTGCAGCCCTGGTGGTTTCCACCAGGCAGGGTTGGGGGCTCCGAGCCGGGAGCTGGCGGGAGGGCAGCACGGCCCGCAGTGCGGACAGCGCCAGCAACAGCCCGTGGATGCTGCGGGGTCTGCAAGGAGCATCTCTGACGGAGATCTGCCTTTGCCCGGGCACCCTGCAATGGGCCTGCTTGGGAGCCACTGGGGGCGAGAAAGGGGCTCTGCCATCTCCTCTGTGCTCCGTGTGCAGGAACAGCTACCGTAGTGTGTGTGTCCTCCGCAACATGAAAATCCACCTGCCGGTCGTGGAGATCCGCATCCTGGAATGCCGGGGTGAGCTCGACTAGTCAGACCTGGGGTGCCAGCCCAGTAGCGCCCATAAACCCCCAGCAGCCTTCACAGATGCTTGTAGCTTTTCCCCTCGTGCCGGCTGCTTCCTTGGTCCCTTGGGACAAGGGCTGGGATGAGCCCCTTCGGGATGCTCCAAGGCAGACCCGGAGGCGGCTCCTTGTCCCCTGGTGCAGCAGTGCTGGGCTGTGCTGGCTGCGGGTCTGCAGCCCCGCAGCACTTTTGCCCTGTCTTGGCAGACGGCGGGTACAACGTTCGCCTGCAAGGGATTAAGATCAAGTCCTTCTGGGAGTGGGACCTGGTCCTCAATGTGGACATGTTCCGGCCAGCCCGGCTGGTGCGCTATCCTCTCCTGGAAGGGGTGGACAGGGACACGCTGTACCGGCGGGCAGTGCTCATTCAGAGGTACGGCATGGGGATAGTCCCTGGCACGCGGCGAGCCCGGGCCCTGGGAAGCACCATACACAGCCCTTAGCACAGGCTTGTACGGGTCTTTCCGAAATGTTCTAGATCCTGGGGCCAGTCCTGACCCACAGGAGCCCCTCTGCAGTGAGCCAGCCGCAGCATCGCAGCGTGGGCCACGTGCTAGGGCTGCTCTTCATTGCACTTTTTCTTATGAGGGGCTCAAAATAAGCACTTGGACCGAGGATGCTCCTTGGGCACCCCTCGCTATGGGGCCCAGACCCCTCGGTGGCACCCGCGTGTTTGCGGGATTATGCTCCGTGCTGGGCTGTGGCAGGCGGAGGTTGTCCGTGGGGAAAGGCAGAGGGTGTCCTGGGCTCTGCGTGTACCCCAGCCCGTCCCCACAGCGCTCCTCTCCGCTCTCCAGGTTCATCACGCTCCTGGACAGCGTCCTGCTCTACCTGATCCCCATCCCGGACCAGTCCGTGGGCACCTTCAGCCAGCTCAGGGTGAGCGCTCGGGGGGTCTCGCGTGCGGGACGGCGCCTGCGCGCAGGAACGCGGCCGCCAGCAGCCCTGCCTGTGCCTCGCCAGAGCATCAAGCCCTTCCTGCCGCTCTCCAAGCACTGCAGCGCCCTCCTCGCCCAGTACATGCAGGACTCGCAGAGCCCCGCTCCGCACACCCTGCCCAAGGTGTACATCAACCGCTACCTGGCCCGCGACCACCGCGCCAACCCCGCGCTCGACCCCTCCTGCAAGAACGCCATCTTCACCCAGGTACCCGTGGCTGGTGACCACCATCTCCATGGCCAAGACAGGCCGTGCGCCGTAGCGGGGTGCTGGGCAGGGCCCCCGTTCGCTGCCTGAGCCGTAGCTCAGCTCCCCTTTCCACCTTGTGCTCCCCTCTAGCTTTACGAGGGCCTCAGAACTTCAGGCAAGAACCAGCAGCCCATGGATTACAGGTAGGGGCCGTGCTGGGGTGCCGGGTCTGTGCTCGCGGGGTGTCGCTGCCCCACGCGGGACGTGGGTGCTGGGAGACGCCGGATGCTGCGGAGCCAACGCGGGCTCGCGCGGCTGGGAGGAGGCCGGCGCGCGGAGCTGCCGCTTCCCCGCAGGTGGCCCTCGAGCTACACGCAGTGGTGGGAGTGCG